TTTGATCTCGTTTGTTGACTTCTCGGTGTGGAACGGGATTGAGCCCCAAGTCACCTTCCAAGTGTAGGGCGCCCGTTCTTTGGTACGTTTAGGTGGAAACAGCAGGGACTACCATTCCACGCAAACCAACAGCACCGGACAGGCGGGTGTGAAACAGTCCACTCCTAAAACCTTGGTCGGGCCGTCGGTATCCCGGTGCGTTCTCAGACGTTGCTGTGAGCCGTTGAAGAGCGTGTGATTTGAAGCCAGAACGGTGCACACGCTCTTCCAAAGCTAGCACTGCGTTTGGGTGGTTGTTGGGAGTTCCTCTGACAGCAGTGGTTCACGAGTGAGCCTGGCTCCCGCGGCTGCGGAATGCGGATTCGAACCTATGTACTTCAGCTCCGAAGTTTGTAACCAGGCGTCGGCCACCTTGCTTTCCACTTGAACACTGCCTGCCTTTACCAACAGCTCCGTTCGTTGTTCTTTGGTGGAGCCTTGCGTTGTTTTCGTCTCACATATCGTTCGTTAATGTCAGGCGTGTGGACCTCTAATTGAATTCTGTTTGTCGTATGATTGTTCGCCTTTGCGCCAAGACCTGACGTGTTGGCATCAGTTTGGCTTGGCTTGCCTTGGTCCTCTGGATGTGCGGAAGCTACATGCTTTGTTATGCATTACTTTACATACATACCTGTGTTTTAGATGGTTGCTTTTGCTAGACGAAGTATCTCTGCAATTCTCGCTGTTTGTGCATGTTTGGAGTTTTGCGTTGCATTTGCCTCATGTATCGTTCGTTAAATTTTGGCGTATGGACCCCTAATTGAATCCTCTTTGTGGTATGATTGTTCGCCTTTGCGCGAAAACCTTGCGTGTTGGTGTCAGTTTGGTTGGCTTGACTTGGTCCATTGGATGTGCGGAAGCTACGCGCTTCTTGATGCATTGCTATGCATACATACCTGTATATTGATGGTTGATTTTGCTTGGCAAAGCATCTCTGCAACTCTCGCTGTTTGTGCATGTTCCGCTTTTATTTCCGCATCGCTATTGTTGTTCGGCGAAGTATTCTCGAGGCCAGCACTGGTGCTGAACAGCAGAGAACCGCTTCGTGTAACCCGTATTTTGGGTAACTCATGTTCTTGTGAAAGGTCAGCAATGCTGCTGGCCGTACTATGGGCCGGCGTGACCCCTACTAGCAGTGAAGCAGTGCTTGCGTACGCATCCCACGACATCTGCAACAGACACCGCAGATGCTGACGTGACCGTGGTTACCGAGATATTCATTTTCATCCTTTGCTTGCTTTCATTTCGATTTTGACTTTTTCTGGTGTGAAACGGGATTGAGCCCCAAGTCACCTTTAAGGTGTTGGGCGCCCGTTCCTTGGTACGTTTAGGTGGAAACAGCAGGGACTACCATTCCACGCAATCGAAAGCACTGGTCAGGCGGGTGTGCGACATGTCCACTCCTAAGACCTTGGTAGAAGCCGCCTGACTCCGGTGCGCTCTCAGACGTTGCTGTGAGCCGTTGAAGAGCGTGTGATTTGAAGCCAGAACGGTGCACACGCTCTTCCAAAGCTAGCACTGCGTTTGGGTGGTTGTTGGGAGTTCCTCTGACAGCAGTGGTTCACGAGTGAGCCTGGCTCCCGCGGCTGCGGAATACGGATTCGAACCTAGGTACTTCAGCTCCGCTAGTTTGGAACCGGGCGTCGGCCACCTTGCTTTCCACTCGAAAACTGTCTGTACCACTACGTGTAGTCGAGGTTCCGTTGCTTGTACGGTGGTGGACGTGTGTTTCGATTTGGTCTATCTGTCTTGTGTTTGTTAGGGTATGTTTCTTGAATTGAGCACACCGTATCGGCACCAATCACGCGGTGTACACGCCCCTATCTGCTAGGCTACAAGTCTTATAGCACCTATTGGGTGTACGTATGTATCCCATTGACCTAACGCGCCAGGCATGCCGCGTTTTGTTCAGCGTGCGAACTATGCAGGTGGTAAACCGAGCAGCCTCAAACATACCTCATTTCGTCTATATTTTCATCACGGTAAGGCCGACGGAAAAATGCTTGAGGCAACCTGTTTCGTGCTCTGCAGCCCACCAAATGACCCGTGAAATCTGTGGAAACTTCTGTTATCGGCTGTGGAAAACTCCAAGGGCCTGCAAGTTGAAAGTGTGAAGCATTGCCGCGTGCAATTCTGAGTATTTCGCCGCGACCGCGACATGTGCGCGCACGCGACAACCACCGCATTGCCCTGCCCCGCACAACACTCGCCGCATCATGTCGGCGCTCCCACCGAACGGTGGCTCGCGACAGCAGGTCGCCTCCGCTGGTCCTTCAACCTTGACGGTGGTGCTTCCTCAAAAGAGACCCCTCGCCAATACAGCTGATATGCTGGCGGCCGCTGAGCGTGTCCTCCTCTCGCGGGCCGTAAAACGGTTTTCGATCATCGAGTCACGGGCAGCAAGAGCAAGCTGTACCGTTGTGCTGTGGCCGTTGGGTGGGAGCACCAACATGAATGCGGCGTGTAGTGTGCGGGTCTGGGCAGTAAGTGTGGTCATCGTGTTCGCGCGCATGTCGCGGCAAGACACTTTCATCCGTTTCATTTACCAGCAGCTGACAGCATATATTGTTAGGGATTCCACTGATCTTTGGTAGTCTTGGGAGGAAGAAGCAGTCGACCTCGAATATTGGTTCGTCGGGCTTATCGGGAGCTGAGGGTTACCAAAATGGGGTATGTTTGAGTCAGTTTGGGTTGTCACCTGCACATTCCTCCGGAAGGGTTACCACTGAGCAACAACGAGTAGTGCCCTTTGGAAGAGGTCAGCAGCGCTGAGATGTAACGACGCTGTTGGCCGTGCGGTGGGCAGACATGACCCCTTACTATATAGCAATGTTTTCGGTATGAATCCCACGACATCTGCAATAGCCACACCGCAGATGCTGATGGAGACGGTGGTTACCAGAGATTCGTTTTCATCCTTTGCTTGCTTTCATTTCGATTTTGGACTTTTTCTGGTGTGAAACGGGATTGAGCTCCAAGTCACCTTTAAGGTGTTGGGCGCCCGTTCCTTGGTACGTTTAGGTGGAAACAGCAGGGACTACCATTCCACGCAATCGAAAGCACTGGTCAGGCGGGTGTGCGACATGTCCACTCCTAAGACCTTGGTAGAAGCCGCCTGACTCCGGTGCGCTCTCAGACGTTGCTGTGAGCCGTTGAAGAGCGTGTGATTTGAAGCCAGAACGGTGCACACGCTCTTCCAAAGCTAGCACTGCGTTTGGGTGGTTGTTGGGAGTTCCTCTGACAGCAGTGGTTCACGAGTGAGCCTGGCTCCCGCGGCTGCGGAATACGGATTCGAACCTAGGTACTTCAGCTCCGCTAGTTTGGAACCGGGCGTCGGCCACCTTGCTTTCCACTCGAAAACTGAAGTTTCGGTGTGTTTTTTCAGTAGGAACATGAGCTAACCCGTTTTTACCGATGGGAGAAACTTGTCGGTGCGTTTTGTTTTTCGGAGCTCTATTT